ACCATAAAAGCATCAAAAAGAAGTGATGTCTGAATGCCCAAAAAATCTCCACTATTTTCAGAAAAGACATGAAAATTCCTTTCCTTTATTAGCCTATCCTCCAAACCAAGTTTTTTTTTAATTTTAATTTTACTTTTTTAGTTGTTAATAGAACTTTATTTATTTGTATGTGGTGCTGAGAATCAAACCCAGTGCCTCACACATGCTAGGCAAGTGCTCTACCACTGAACCACCACCCCAGTCCCCAACCAAGGTTTTTATTTGAAGGAAGAGCATATTATTTGGGTGTGGTACTGGGTATGAACCCAGGGCCTCACACATGCCAGGCAACCACTCTACCACTGAACYATATCCCCAGCCCTTTCTCTCATTTTCTTTTACCCTGTATTTATAATGTCCTAGCCCCCAAGGCGTTGAGAAGCTGATCTGTGACCTTTTCTCCCTGTTTCTCTTATTTCTGGTTAAAAATAAACCTTCCTTAGCTGGGTGTGGTGGTGCATGCCTGTATTCTCAGTGACTCTGGAGGCTGAGGAAAGAGGATTGCAGATTCCAGGTCAGCCTCAGCAATGTAGCGAGACCCTGAGCAACTTAATGAGATCCTGTCTCAAAATAAAAAATTAAAGAGCTGGGGATGTGACATAGTGGTAAAGCAACCCTGGGTTCAATCCTAATAATAATTAATAAAAATCAATCAATCAATCAATCTTCCTTCAGTTTGGGGGTCAAAATCAGTTACACTACCATATCCCAATAATATTACATGCTGGTGACCATGCCTTTAACACATGGRCCTTTGGGGAACATTTGTCTGAATTGTACCAATGCTCAAAATTTATATGACTTAAACTGGGTATGGTGGCACTTGCCTATAATCACAGTGACTCAGGGGGCTGAGACAGGAGTATCACAAATTCAAGCTCAGCAAGCAACTTAGCAAGACCCTTTCTCAAAATTAAAAAAAAAAAAAGACTGGGGATGAAACTAGTGATGAAGTGCCCCTGGATTCAATCCCCACTGCCAATAAATAAATAAATAAAATTTAATGACTTTGAACAATCATTTTATTTCAATAGTCCTCCCTTATCTCTGGGTAGTACATTCCAGGACCCCCAGTGGATGTGTGAAACCTCAAACAGATCAAATTTTATGTATACATGGTTTTTCATATATATATATATCTGCAATAAAATTTAATTTATAGCCAGGCATGGTGGTACATGCCTGTAATTCCAGCAACTAAGGAGGCTGAGGTAGGAGARTCACAGGTTCAAGGCCAGCTTTGGCAAGTAGCAAAAACCAATAAGCAAAAACCACTGGATCTCAGTGGTAGAGCACTCCTGGGTTCAATCCCCAAATAAATAAGTAAATGAGTACAGTTTAATTTATAAATTAGGCACAGTAAGAGATTAATTACTAATAATGAAATAGAACAATTGTAACAATAGACTGCAAAAGTTATGAATTGTTTATTTCTAGAATTTTCTATCTGATATTTCCTGACCATTATTGATCATGGAAAGTGAAATCATGAATAAGGGTGGGTCTGCTGTGTATCTCACAGTTTTGTGTTATTTGTTTCACTTCATTTGGGCAGTGTTCCATTAGATAATTCTTCTATTTCATGTGTCACTGATAAAAAAATTATATGATGACATTCATTTGGTAGGTGGGCTGATCTGGGGGGCTCAAGACAGCTTTGTTCCTATGTCTGGGGCCTTGGTGGGGGTGGCTGGAAGACTGAGCTCAGTTGAGACTGTTAACAGAAGTGGCATCTTGAACAACACAGTCTCAAGGCTTCTTGAACAACACAGTCTCAAGGCAGTTGGACTTTTTGGCAACTCAGGGCTTCCCAAGGAAGTATTTCAGAGTCGTGGGTAGAAGGTGGAAGTTTCCTTTGATGTGACCTGAAGTCCTGGAATGTCACTTCTGCCATGTTATATTGGTCAAGCAAGTTACTTGTTCAGCCCAGATTGAAGAAGTAAGGAATCAGACTCTCAGTGAAAGGAGAAGCAAAGAATATGTGGTTTCCTTTCATATACCATACCTGATAAGGGAGTCTAGTAAATGGGGAATATCCCTTAAAAGAAAATGAAGAAAGATGATGTTAACAGTTACCAGACCAGAGACCAAATACAGGATCGTTTTCGGTCAAAGGAATCAGAAGGGAGATGACCTCAAGGTTCTTTTAATCTGCTGATTGGTGTCTGCTGCTTTCAAGTGGCCCAGAAGGGTTTATCTGGGGTGTCAAGGGCTATCAAGTAAGTGCTTGTTCATATATCACAGATTCTGTGATGCTTTAAAGTTGGTAGTAGTGATGAAAGGTTAATAAAATAGGTACTTGTCACTCTGTTTTTCTATATGCTTAACAAAACACTGTTGAAATCTTGTTCCCAGGATGTGTTGTGCCCAACTGYGAACTGTTTGCAAATCTTGTTCCCAGAATGTGCTGTCCCCAACTGCCAAACTGCAGGATGCACTCCCTCACTCGGTTGCAGGCAAACTGCCCACTCGCCCTGACCCATCAATGAACTTCCCTCCCTGCCCTCTCCAAGAAAAGTATATAAGCTCTGCTCAAGCTGTTCTCAGGGCTCTATCTCTCTTTGCTATAGAGAGAGCCCTAGCATGCTGGTCTCCAAATAAACCCACCCTTTGCTGTTGCATAAGACAGTCTCTTGTGGTCTCTTCCTCCKACGTTTCGCCGGTCCCTTACAGTGATATCATAGGAAAAGAGATGCCTCTGGAGAAGGGAGGTCTCTCAATGAGTTCCCAGCTCAGGACTATGGGGTTCTTGGCATTTTGGATGGAAAAGGACTTCAACACGCCCAGTGAGAGACACAGACAAAGGTTTATTTTGAGAAGCAAAAGCACATTCAAGGGAGAATGCAGGCTATCTCCAGAGGGAAAGACAGCAACCCACTGGTGTAGGGTGTAAATATTTATAGAGGAATGAATGCTAGGGTGTTATAGTTAAAGCTTTGTCCCAGGGTTTCATAAACTGACTTCTAGGCCGCTCAYGTATAATCAAATCAAGCCTTTATTGAAGCACACTGTGGCGACTGACCAGAACGTAAAGCTGTTCCCCTGATCAGCCCGAACAATTGCAAGGGTGCTCCTTATAAGCTTGAAAACCACAAAAGGGATGTTCAGGGGTCTAGCCAATGCAAGCAAGCCAGGTTACCAAAGTGGGAAGCCTAACCAATCACAGTTAGCCTAATCACCCCAATTACAGAAACAGAGCCCCGTTACCCTAGTTACAGAAACAATGCCCCATTAGGTAGTTCCGGGTTCTTAAAGGTTTCTATAGCAAAAGGAAAAGAACACCTTGCCCCACTCATGACCATTCTACTTGGCATGGTTGTTTTACAGAATGGAGTCACATTTGCTTTTACTATTACAAGGGACTGGACCAGAGGTGGAGTCAGAGCAGAGTTACATAATTTTGTGCAAGTTTTTCTTGCACAATGTTAAATTTTGCAGGTAAAGTCATGAGTCATGAGCATTTCTTTTGAGACTCAGTCTACCTTTCCTTTTCTATTTCCCCAAATTTGATTAAAAAGAAACATACTGTGAATCTATTGGTAGTTATTCAAAAAGGAGCAGGGGGYTGGGGGATCAAATAAAACCAATGACTTTTCCACTCCCCACCAGCTCACTCCCTTCTCAGCTTCTTATCAGAGGCCTGCCCTTCCCAGTTCCAAGTCCATCTCCTTCAGGAAGTGTCCTGAGATCCCTCCCCACAACATAAACACATATAGTTTGTTCCTTAGTCTAATATAGCACTTCTCATTATCTTCCATGTGTTTCTGTGACTTCTGTATGTGCCTGTCTTGGGGACCATGAGTCCTTGAAAAGAAGGCATGACTTACACATTTTACACAGGAATTGGTACTATGCACTTGATAGGCGCTTAGCAGATGTTTCACAATGAATGTGCATAAAACTGACCAGAAGTGAGCAATTTTAATAGGTGGTAGGACTCTTCCCTAAAGAGAGTGTAAGTCATATATGTAGGAAAAAGTAAGTGGTCCTGAAACCTAGAATCTGAAAAACAAGGAAAATAAGATAATTTTGTGGGAATTCAATGAATTAAATCCAGTGGGAAATGGCAGAATGTTTCCTTGGCTTTGGGATTTTTTTCTTGATTGGCAAAACTCCTGATTTGATCAATGATTGTAATCTGAGGAAATATTGCTCTGACTCAAGGGAGTAACTAGTTTAGGAAAACAGGACCTCAAAGCAGCAAATATTGGCAATGCATTTAACACTGTTCATGGGAAAGAAAAGCTGAATTTGAACTTCATGAACATCTTATTAGTTGAAAGATTTTCTCTGTTTCAAGCAAAGATAGTTTATCTGGTTCCCCACCCCCCCAACCCAACTGAAATAGTCGTTAGGGATTGGTTACTGTCTGATTGGAAATAGAATCTCTGGAAACTGGTTCAAATTTTTAATTTATATATATGCAATTCAGGTGTGGCAAGTGCATTCCTTATTAAACTAGTTAAATAAAAACTATCAGAGGCCATCATTTTGAACTAAACTTCTACACTAGGCCCCAACAGACCAGGCAACAGATAAAAATGAAGTTTTTTACTCACATATCACCAGCCAAAACTAAGCTATTTATATGATTTTCTGAGAAACCAGGATTAGAAAGATACCTGCCAAAGTTCCCAAGAGGCCAGTTTCAATTAGCAGGATAATGAAGATTTCTCTGCTTTAATCCTTAACACAAAAGAAGTAGCCTGAAATAATCTRATACTAACCAATTATTTTTCTATGATTTTGACTCCTCATGCCACTGTTTAGTAGAAGAAAGTAACTTTTGAAATGACCAATCTGCTTTTTGTTCTTTTGTTTCTTCTTTCTTTAGAAACAAAAGATTTTTTGCCTATAAGACAAAACTCTTCTGCTCAACCCAYAGGAACACTTACTATATTCTATGAAATAAAGTGTTGCTCGATTCTAGAATCACAAAGAGAATTAAGATCTTCAAACTACTGCTCGCTTCAGTAGCACATATACTAAAATTGCAACGATATACAGAAGATTAACATGGCCCCTGCATAAGGATGACATACAAATCTGTGAAGTGTTCTATATCTTTGGTGGAATGTGATGGTCATCATTATGTAAAGTACACGTATGAAGACATGAATTGGTATGAATATACTTTGTAAACACCCAGAGATATAAAAAAAATTGTGCTCTTTATGTGTAATATGAATTGTAACGCATTCTGCTGTCATATAAATTTAAAAAAATTAATTAAAAAAATGAAAACAACAACAACAACAAAGATCTTCAAACTAAGGGTTGGGGTTGCAATATGCTTAGCCTTGAGACCCTATGTTCAATTACCAGCACTTCCCCCTGCCCTGCCACAGACCCCAAAAGGAAGAAATATCCTACGTGGGTCCTGCCTCTTCTTGCTTCCTTTTTCTGGATATTGCCTCCACTCATAAAGACATATTCACCAAATAATTTTACTTATATAATGTCAAAACTTAACTTTTTAGCCTTAATAGTTGTCTCAAGTAGCTTTCATTTTGGAAAGCTATTAAGACATGAAACAGCAGCAAAATGACCCTCTGGACCTGGTACTTTTGAGTTTTCATTTTTGCTTAGAACACCAATTTAAAATTAAAGCAAAATCATTCCCACATTATACTCATGTAGGAAGTCTTTTTATGTACACATTAACACAAGACGGAAATGTCAAACTGAGTAAGTTTTACTTTTTTTTTTTTTGGCAAATCACAGAAATAAAACAGTGGTGGTATCAGAAACAGAAACATTTGCTTTAGTGTTTTATAGCCAAAGAGACTGATGAATGTCATTCAAATTCTCATCTCCTTCTTCCATGGCTTTCAAATTAAGTACTTCCAAAGAACCTTTGCCTTTGTTTCCTTTTTTTTTTTTTTTTTCATTAGCCTATCAATTTCTTGGAAGTAGCCTGGGTCAAGAAGACACGATTTCTAGCTGCTGGCTGTAGTCTTCACTTTCTATAACCTTGATCAATGGCCTGAGCTTATTCTTCAGCTCCTTCTCTTCATTCACTGGAAGAATGAACCCACCCTCATGTGAGCACATGGATCTTCATTTTTCTCCTTTAGCCGCTTTATCACTTCTAAAGCCTGCGGCTTTATACTCTTGGTGGGTTTGACTGAATAGTGGATGTACTTCCTGGCTCTCTCAATAAGGATCACAGTATATGGTCTCTGTTTCTTGGTTGACACATTTGTCTGCACAATGGTTGTAATATCCCTAAACATCTGCTCCAGCTGTGTGTGCCTTTCTTCATCTTGATACCTGAACTTCTCCGTTAGTCAAAATCTGCTTACAGGGCTGGGGATGTGGCTCAAGTGGTAGCGCGCTGGCCTGGCATGCGTGCAGCCCGGGTTCGATCCTCAGCACCACATACAAACAAAGATGTTGTGTCCGCCGAAAACTAAAAAAAATAAATATTAAAAACTTCTCTCTCTCTCTCTATACCCCTCTCTCACTCTCTCTAAAAAAAAAAAAAAAAAAAAAATCTGCTTACAGATTTCAGTTTGGTCATCTGTTCCAAATGCACTGATGAGATCTTCCTTCTTTGCAACCCGACCTTTAGAAACATTTACAAACACTGAGTGGGTTTGCAGGACTTCATCAAGGTCTCTTTCTCTTGTTCTTGTAACAGGTGATCTCAAAGCACTTACCCGTGTGCTTCATACCAACTGCTGCCACATTGTCAGGTGGATCTGGTTGCTAGGGATRAAGATGTACATGGAGATAGCTTACAGATGGCAGCCAGGGAACCAGAGCTCTACCCCTCATGACCACTGGCACCCACCTCCAACGACCCCAGGCAGGCACAACCCTAACTACTGCTCAGAGCGTGCCACCCTCCAATTCTTTTCATTTTTTAAATTTATTTTTTAAAATTAATTAATTTACTTTAAGTTTTTGATACAGGGTCTCGCTAAGTTGCCTAGGGCTGGCTTTGAAATCGTGATCCTCTTGCTTTAGTCTCCCTGGTAACTGGGACTATAGGCATGTGCCACCTTGCCTGTTTCAATGGTGGTTTTTAAAGTGGGGGAAGGATTGTAATGTGTAACACTGGGGGTATTTGTTGAATCTCACAATGATTAAGATTTTTTTTTCCATTTGATGAGTAGGACTCAAGATTTGCTAGACATTTAGCAATTGTGCAAAGCACTCCCATATAATGTGGGACATTCYTACATTTCCAAGTTGAATGCCTATCCAGTCATTCATGTTGTTGAAATCCATTGTAATTAGGATTTAACTTTATTTAAAATATAAACACAAGGCATTTTATGCATAGCTTTAATACACATTAAACTTTTCAGGAATGCAATTACCCTAAAAATCATGAGATGATSGATGATCATGCCTTGTCCGGTTCAAAAATCTGCCAAAAGTTTTTCATTATTTTGGAAAACTGTGCTACACTAGTATCTCTGTTCATGGTATGTGAATCACAATTTGTCTTAGTCAGTTTTATGTTGCTGTGACAAAATACCTGAAATAATCAACTTATAAGGTGGAAAGATTTATTTTGGCTCATGGTTTCAGAGATTTCAGTCCATAGTCATTTTGTCCTGTTGCCTTTGGGCCTGCGGCATGGCAGTACATCATGGTGGGGAGTACATAGAAGAGGAAACTGATCACATTAATGATGGATAGTTGGAAAATAGTGAAAAGAAGGGGCTAGGTCTCAATATCCCCTTTGAGGAAATGTCCTTGTGACGTAGTAGGCCCTACATTCTAAAGGTTCCACCAATACCCAGTAGCACTACAGACTGGTGACCATACCTTTAGTATATGAGCCTTTGGGGGATATTTTAGGATCCAAACTGTATCATCATTATAACATGTTTATATCATTCTGCATTTGTAGTAGTTATGTTCAAGGTAATTCTATACAGTACGTAAGCATCTAACTACCAAATTTTGAATACTCTTGAATATTATGTCCAACATTCATTGGTTTATGTATGTATGTATTATGTATTTATTTGTGGTGCTGGGGATTGAACCCAGGGCCTCGTGCATGCAAGGCAAGCATTCTACCAACTGAGTTGTATCTCCAGCTATGCCCAAACATTTATATATATATACATATATGTATTATTTACTTACAAATYACTTTCTTCTGATATTCTTATATATCTTTTTAGGACATTTTATTATTGTTATTGTTAATTAGGGGGCTCAAACCCAGGGACTTGCACAGGCTAAGTGCACAATTTACCACTAAACTCTATCTCCAGCCTCACATTTTACTATTTTYTACATTGTGTGTGTATGTGTTATATTGTTTATGAATTGTATTTTAGGATAATATAAGGATATATTTATATATTTATTATAAAGGGGGAGTGTCTTAGTATGGGTTGCTATAACAATTACCATAGGCTGGGTGGCTTAAGCATCAAACACTTACTTTTCATAGTTCTAGAAGCTGGAAGTCTGAGATCAGATGCCAGTGTGGCAAGAGCCATCCTCCAGGTTGCAGATGATTGACTTTTCATTGTATTCTCACTTGGAATAAAGAGAGCAAACTAGCTTCCTCTCTGGCCTATCATTATGAGGCCAGGAGTATCATTTGTGAGGGTTCCACCCTCATGACTTAATTGCTTCCCAAAGGACTCACCACCCAAACACTATCACACTGAGATTAGTGTTTTAATATTGAACTTGTGGTGGGGTGTGTGTGTGTGTGTGAAAATGCAGTCCACCGCAGGGAATGTGGAAATGATGGGATGAGTTGTAATGGAGGTATCTAAGGAAGGAAGGTGGGATCAGGATCAGTTTGAAATAGGAATTTGGGGACACAGAAAAAAGAGTTTCAAGAGAAGTGCCCACAAACTAATGAAATGCTGGAAATGTTACGAATCTTCACARATTTCTGAGCAACCCAGCCCACAGCCTTGGCCTGGGCTATTGACCCATACCTTGCCTGTACATGGGGCAATGCTTTTGTGCAGAGAAAAATGGCACAAAATTGTGTGAGTGTACCGACTCCACCTCCAGACCAACCCTTAGCCACCATTCCTCTACAAATATTAATACCCCACACCAAGGGGTTGCAGTCTTTCCCTTTGGAGATGGCCTTCATTTTCCCCTCGAATGTGTATTCCTTGGTTTGCCCCTAAACTTCTCACTCTGGAGACAGCCCACATTCTCCTTTGAATGTACATCTGCTTCCCTAAATAAACCTTTGTCCGTGTCTCTGAGTGATGGTGCTGGAATTCTTTTCCATCAAGTACGCCAAGAACCCCACTTGTTCTGAGTCAAGGTCCCCCTCTCTGGGAACTCGGTACCTCCTGTGACAAGTTAATAGATAAAACAGAATGCCACCAATTCTGAACCAAAGTTCAGTTGTTACCTGRGACTCAAGGGTACCTACTCCTTAAGGAAAGCAATAATATTTTCCAGAAGGCAGCTAATCTATTTTGCATGAGGAAAGTTTGTTTCTCTGCTTCTATTTGTTTGGCCCTCATCTTTATAACATAGCACTAGCATTATCACCCTAACAGGTGACTTGTCTCTTTCCCAAGCCTGTTTCGATTTTGGGGGAAAGGATTCCACATTAGCCATTCAGAAGACCTGAGATAGATGTTTTGTCAACCAGGAATCTCCCTTCCAAGGGACAGGAGTGGGACGTGCTCTCAGTTTACCCTGCTTCATTTTATGTCTCTACTTCTTTACAGGCCTTTTAATTCTCTACTTCTTTAATCTCCTTTTAATCCTTCTTTAGTCTCCTTTTAATCCACCCCCTTTTAATCTTATTTACCCAAAGAAACTTTAGGATAAATTAAGAGTCCAATTATCTTTGATACCAGGAAAAAAGGTACACAGGCAGCGAACATGCCAGTCCTTTCCAAGAAAGAGTGTTGGAAGATAGAAAAAAAAAAAAAAAAGGACACGAAAATTAGCAAACAAGGAAGGGAACTTGGGAAAGTCTGAGTAACAGCAGAAAAGAAGGCTAAGGAAGAAAAAGGAGAAAAGAAAAACATAGACGCCAGAAAAAGCTTCGGGTATCCTCTAGGCGTTCCTTGCTGGCCTCTCGGCTCCTTGTGGGCAGTCCCTCCAGCA